AACCGCAGAACCCACACGCGATTCATGATTGTCATTCCATACATATGTTTAGTTGCGCTACGCACATGGCAGTCAGACAATTGACTATCAAGTAGGTCGTGCAAAACTCCGTCGCGGAGATGCCCGGCGTATCGACACCATAGTAGACCAAAGGCGTTATATTCTTCGAAGTTTATGATTAGGACTTGAGGCAAAACACACCCTCCATTGCCCGCGACGTCATCAGTAAGACGGAGACACATGCCTAATGTACTAAGGTTTATCAGAAATAATTAAGTAACGTTTTTATCAAAATGAAAGGCCACCGTCAAAAACACTAAAACCGCAATGTTCAGAATTGTGAGCAATAGTTTTGCTCTGAAGGCGCGACTACAGATCTCCCCTTCAGTAGTCATAGCGCCGGGGACCCAACAATTTATTCGTAGCTATTAAAAAGGGTATTCTTGTTGTGGAGTGGCTCAGCCAGGTGAATTTTCAGAATGATACATTAACAGAAGTCAAGTGCACGCTCCATTTCATTCAAGTAAACGACGCTGGAATAATTGCTGCATGCAAACAGCGTTACCGGCTTCGCCAGATCCAGCACGGTCTTGACCAGCTTGAAGCCGACCCAGTTATGGACATCCAAGTTTCACAAGGTTGACATCCGCGGTATGGATCATTGACTGCTGAAATTCCATGTCATCCTCGATATTTGTGCTGAAAACACTGATCTACTCGATTATTATGCGTTTGAATACAGCGAGACAGAGAAGGAGGACCCCGTAACGGACGGGATAGCTGCTATGCTGTCGCGCCTACATGCGAGCTAAGCAGGAAGTAAGGGTGCAAGCAGCTTCGGACGTGCTGCACAATAGTGACATTTCCTATAGTTAGGCACCTCAGAAAAGTCGTTTTTGGTAATTTTGTATTCCATATTACGAGGAAGAGATGAGAGGTTATATTATCTTAGACTTGTAAGCTCCGGACTCGATTTTTTTCTTCAGATCCTGAGCGGTGCGTAGCTAGATTTATCAGCCTGTCTAGCTAGATCGATTTGTTCTTTTTAAAGACCTCGATTAAATTAAAAATCGACCTATATTTATTACAAATCGACTTGGTGAAAAGCATTGAAATGCACAATAATACCAAAGGATGTTATAATAATAATGCTATAGCAATACTTGTCTTCTTCACAAGTAATACTTCGAGGCACCGTACTATAATATTCTGTCAAGGCGCGTTCTCAAGACGACGTAAATTTTCAAGTGTACTGTATAGATACTGATTGTCTAGCCTTCATCACGTTATCACAGATATCCATCCTTACTCCTCTTCACCATAGTAGTGTGTCCGGTAAATACTTCTCCGCGAGCTGCATGAAGTACGGTAGTTCATCCCTCACGCTGACCTTCTGCACTACTTCCTCTGACACACAAGCTATCTTGCCAAGCGAGCAGATCCACTCCTTCGTATCCGCGTCCTGGGGTGCGCAGAATTCCTCGTAATTGTCTTGTTCGTACCACGTCTTCAAGGACCAGAAGCGCACTGCATCCAGCGCTTCCGCTGGCAACGACGTCGTAGTTAAAGACAACACGCGGTGGAGATATTCGTCCGGAGTCCAAGGCAACAACACACTCTCCAACCCGCAATGACTAGCAGTACTACCGCCACTTTTCTCGGCGTTACAGTGGTCCACATTAAGTTCATTCAGCTCTGAAAACTGGATCGAGTTGGGGATACGCTCGCCCACTATCCACGTCGAGTTCTTGGTCATCCATTCCTGTGCTGAAATACTACGCAACACGGCATTATCCTCGTCGGTCCAGCACAAGAAAAGCATTCCTAAAGCACGAAGGAAAACGGCTAGTTGCAGCCAGTCTGGGTGGCCGTCCTGCTTCACTGCAGTCGCTGTAGCCAGCATGTACTTGACCACCCAGCTCTTCTCTCTTTCCGAGTCTCCTGTAAGTTCCATCACGCACTTGCATGCTTCGGGAATCGACATTTGCGCATGTTGCAAGTCGCCGTATTTGGCAACTTGGGTATTGACAAATACCGTAGTTTGGTATTTGCGCATGATTTTGACAAAAAGCGGATGCGAGTCGGGTTTATTGCAGACCAACGCCATGATCTCCCCGCCGTCCCATGGGACGGGGTGATCCGTCACCTCGACACGCTTTTCCAATGGGTCGATACACAAGTATCCGCCGTGGAAACTGCGAAGTGCCACTCCTCCGGCAACTTGAGTTGCATTCTCGGAATGGTGTGGCACAGCTTGGAACGTCTCCCAAGTGGAATTCAGACGTCGATCGGCCAGGATCGTGCCGTCTTCTTCCACACAGAGAAATTTGCCGTGGACACTGCGAAGGAAAACTTCGCCAGTGGCACCGAGCAACGTTTGCCACATGCACCCAGAGGTCTTCGAGCACACTTCAATGTCTCCGTCTTCTCCTGCCACCACGCACGTTCCGTCTTGTGTCTGTAGTGTCATCATGCAGAACCAAGTGCTTTCTTTTGGTCGAATGGGAAAGAAAGTGCTTTTCTGAAACACAGATATCATTGGCACTTTGCGAAGACTGTCGTTGCCGTTGTAAAGAAAAAGCACTTTTGCCTCGGACATTTCGGCAAAACCCCAGCCGCGATAGAGCCCCACAAGTTTCCCATAGCGTTTTGAGTCCTCTTCGGCTTCCAAATAGAGCGCTGTCACGTGTTTTTCTTCCAATGTGGCTAAAGTGGCCAGGTAGAGCACGCGGGCTAAGCCCAAGCCACGAAACTCCTTGTTCACCACAACTGACTTGACGTGAGCCGTATCATTCTTCTCTAAAGTGAAGATGAGCTTGCCAATTGCACCGCGCTGGGTCGCTAATCGAACATAAACATTAAGCAATTGATATTTCGCTTTTTGTGGCAATTGTTGCCAATAATGAATTAAAGACAATATTTACTTACAGGCGAAGAGGACCCAACGCAGCTCCTTGGTGCGCCGGTCGTCGGTGTACTGCAGGCGGAAGCGCACGGCGGGGGCGGGCAACACCTCCGTGACGGGCACAACGGTGCCTAGTGGCAACAGCGCAGTCTTCATCATCGTCGCTGTCGTGTGGCAATTTGGTGAATGAAAGAAAAAAACTGTGCAATAGTGAACACCAGTCACTTTCTTCGCTGTTTGGCACGTGACTCTTAGAAGATGGGACGAAGGCAACTTCAACGCCTTCTGGCAAAGGAAATGATAATGTGGCTTTACTATTTCATGGAAGGAGTTCGCTGCAGTTTCCACATGGCCTTGCAGTCACTTTCTCTTGCTGTCTGTGCAATTGTTGCTGTGTCTTGGTGAGGAGTAGTGCTTGATCTTCGTTGCTGGGTGTCCTCTCCTCGAAGTTGCCTTGGGCTTGGACTTCCAATTGGAAGTGAAAATTTTAGTGGTGGGCGCGGTGACAACCCAATTGGAGAATTGCCGGTTGGTTGCGCAAAAAATGCGTGTACACTTGCCGGAGATACCATTGCTCCATTTTTCGGTTGAAAAGATCCGCTAAGACTTGGCCCAATTTGCGTTACACGAGTAGGTGAGAAGAGTGACGGTGAACCTGGGAGTGATGGTGAACCTAGTGACGATGCTAGAGTTTTGTCTTGAGTAAAGGCAGCTAGTCCAGTCGACGTCGATTTTAATGGACTTGTGCCATAAATTGGCGCCCCACGACTTGATGGTGGCATTGCAACAGGGAGCAGGAGTCGACCGGGTTTACACGGCTTAGTTGGCGTTAGTGGGGCAGGAGAAAACAGTCGGGAGACGGCATTGTTGTGTCCTTGTTGCTGTTGTAGATATTTCTTGTCCTGAATTCGACGAGCCAATTTAGTTGCCGGTACAGCTTCCAGAAGTCGCGTTTGTGTGTCTTTGTTGTCCCCATTCGGCTTCTTTAGGGCTGTGGAAGTGACGATACATTGCCACGGTTTGTCCACAAAAAAGTAGGCAGGATTGCTTTGTTGCTGTTGCTTTTCCACTATTTCGAGGTTCCAGCGATGTCGTTCTAGTAAAGAGTTGCGGATGCTGTGAAGACTTGACAGTGGGAGTCGTCTCCACCCACGTTCAGATAGCTCCAGCATTTGCACACGGGTTGAGCACATAAAAACAGTTCTAGCGACGTCACTGTTGGTAGTTGGAGGGGTACCGCCAATTGCTGTGACTGACGCTAAAGTGGCAGCGACGTAGTGTTGAGCATTTAGAGGAGAAGCCGGGCGCTTTGGTACCGACGGAGGTGTCGGTGATGAGGGAGCATTACTGTTTAATATTGAGGCTGTTGCAGTGGAGGTGACAGCTCCAGCGTCAGATGCCAACATACTTGCACTGGCAATTGCAACACCGAAAAACTCTTGCGGTCCAATAGTTGCCACTCGAATCAGCACTTCTTTACTTGTTGCAGAATCGTTAGTTGCAGGCGTTGCCGTGGCTTCCGCGATCGGAACCATCCGACGCAGATAAACAACAACTTCGCCACTTTTTACAATATAAAGTGAGCGCAAATGTTCCGGTTCTTGAAGAAAAATGTGGCGTGGCTCGTAGAATTGCTCTTGGAGATCATGTGCCACTCGAATACACTGAGCAAAGTCACTTTCGCGAAGAAAGCTCAGTGACGCCAAAAACTCAGCGCGCTGTACCATAGCATGCTGAACGGACACACCAGGTAGCAAATCCATTAAAGCGTGCAAATGTACGCGCTCAAGGACTAAGAGATCAGCTTCACTCGCCGCTAGAGCTGACGCTGAACGTTGCAGTCGAGTGACAAGTGACAACTCGCCAAAAGAGTCGCCAGCGGACAGAGTTGCAAGTACATCGTACTGTTTGACGGTTGACCCTGGCTGAAGCGTATTGACGTCCTCGTTCACGATACTGATGTTGCCTCTCAAGATGAGAAAAGCGCGGCTCTCAATCTTTCCCTGTTTAAAAAGAAATTTGTCTTTTTGAATAGTGACAAAATTTGCAAATCGACCGATGCCACGTGCAAGTGCAAGTTTATCCACATGCGAGGGACGATCGAATTTATCGACGAACGCCGTGGACTCAAGCAAGCGAGCCACGAAGCTGATCTCAAAGGGAGAACGATCAGCTGGAGGCAACGATAACACACGTCGGGTTTCGGCACGAGTGATACTAAGTGAAGACGTAGGCTGGTCCCAGGCCACTCGGTCCGATACGAAAGGAAATTCGTCAGCTAGTGTGGGATCTGCATGCATTCTTCGTAATAAATCCAGATATAAAGTTTTGCCTTCGAATTTTTGCATGTAGGCTGCCTTGAATTTTTTCACAAAAGTTTCAAGATAACGAGAAACCAGCGGGTTGGCTAAGTGCAAATTGCGCGTTTTCACAACGAGTGCCCACTCTTCCATCAGCGACATGGCAAGAAGTGCTTCAGCGTCGGTGTCAATACCACCGACGCCTAATAATTGAGACGCTCCGATGTATGTTTTCCTTGAAATGGCCACGCAAATGACACTTCCTGTTGCCACCACGTGCGTTGCTCTAGGTCGACCTAGAATCCCCATCTCTCCGAATCCTTGATAAAGCGTTTTTCGACACACAATCGACGTCCTAATACCCGTGTCCTCTTCTTCCGGGACGTCTTCCGAATCGCCATTTCCAAGTATTGCGCTTTGTGGGCGTCTGAATTCCCGCACTTGTTCGTCCAGCACGACGTCAGCTTCGCCTTCAGCTAGGATGAAATATCTGTCATCATCTTCGTCTCCTTGTTGTATGATCCTGCACCCTTCCTCGTAGTGTTCAACTGTACAATGATCCAGAAGAAATTGCTTTTGACGTGTGGAAAAGTGCTGAAATAATCGCTGTTTTGCTATCACCCCATGCATGCGCAACAAATGCCGATGCAACATTAATTCGTGCACGGGTGCTAATAATCTGGCAAATGCGTCTTCTGGCAACATGAGACATGTCACAGCTCCACTTGCCACGGCATTGAGAACTCTTGACACAAATCCTTGCAACAATGATTCTTCGCCGAAATATTCGAGTTCCTCATGTTTGTGCAACTGAATTTCCATTTCAGCTTCGATCTGGGAACGTTTGCGAGTGCTCCTTCGAGTATATACAGCGCCACCGGAGCTGTCCGTAGGAATTATCCCCGCCGGTCGGAAAGTACTCATAGCACGCGATCGTCGGCGCTGAGTGATCAAAACTTTGCCTTCTTCTATGAACAGAACGTCACGTCCGGGTTGTCCTTGGCAATAAATGTACTCGCCATCGGCAAAAGTCACGAGTTCGAAGGCTCGCAATAGTTGCCCTTCCGAACACAGACCCTGCTTCACAACATGTGCCAGAATCGGCACTCGACGGATCAAGCGAGCTTTGCGCACCGTGTCAAGAGTCGAGGACTCGTTTTCATTGTTGCTTGTGTCCATGGCGCGATAAAGTGGCAACCAGCCACAAGCTAATCGTGGCTCTTGTCGGTTCGCAACCGTGTCAAAGTTATTGCTGGTCGGGTGACACTTATTTCTGAGTACTTCTAGTTCTGACTTCTGAAAAATTATTGCCTGATGTAAATAAGACCAAATATTTATATTTTGATTCCAGGAGCGACTACAATATGTGAGCCCGGTTGGGCAGGCGAGCTCCTCAGAATTTCGTGCATTGTTTCCTCTTTTTTAAGGTCGTACCTTACTCGCCAAATGACAAGGATTTCATTTTATAGGTTGCAAAATGTTTTGTTCTTATAAATTAATAGGCTTACTACGCAAGTTGCCAAGTCTAACGTTTCATACAGATCGTAAGGGTGTTGCATCTTCATCAAAATTTCTCGCGTCTACGCCACTATCGATGTCTACCACACTGACAGAAGATGCGGATGATATAATGCTGCCATCAATTTCCACCGTGGGCATTGGTTGTTGCAGCAACTGCGGTGCAATGGCAGAGCGCAACTCGAAGGCCACTTCCATTGCCGTCGGCCGTGCAGCTGGATCCAAGCTCAAACATCTCTGCGCTAAATCACGAATCGCAGGCGGGCAATCGTCACGGAAATTCGGCAACAATTTGCCTTCCGACACAAGATGGACAATCTGCATACTCCGCATCTTCGCGTGGCGACTGAAACCGTAGGGCAGAGCACACGTATCGATCTCGGACAGCACGACACCAAACGAGAAGAGATCGCTCTTCTCGTCGTAGCGTTTGCCCTCCAAGACCTCCGGTGCGCTCCACAAGATCGTGCCAATCCCGTTCGTCATCGTGTCCTCCACAGATCGTTCCCGACTAAGTCCGAAATCACTTAACTTAGCGCGTAATCGTCGATCCAGCAGCACATTCTTCGACTTCAAGTCCCGATGGATCACGACGGGAACTAGCGAGTGTAAATACACCAGCGCTTCCACGATATCACTGCTCAACGTGAGCTTCTCTCTGCTCCACGTGAGCTCCTTCTGAGCAACGGGGTTGGCCAGCAAATTCTCAAGATCGCCACGTGCCATATACTCTGTCACTGCACACAGATGCAACAGCGATTGCCACGCCACACCACAGAACGCCACAATACGGGGATGTGCTAGCAATGAAGCCATTCGAATCTCCTCTGCGAACTGCTCCAAGGCCTCACGGTCTTCTCGTTTCGCAGGCAACAAGCACTTCATGGCCACATACCGAGTCTCATACTGTCCCAACCAGACCTCCCCACTGCCTCCTTTTGCTAGTAATCTCAAGAAATGAAGCTGCGCAAAAGAAATACGCTTCGTCACAATAGCCGGGTCCGACACAAAGGCACGCAAGATGGAGCTCTTGCGACACAGTTGGTCGTTGGATAACGTAATCTCGGCGCGTGTCGTGGCGACGAGAGCTGAAGTACCGTGAATTCCAGGCGAGCGTCGACTGCGTGGTCTTGCTCCGAAGAAAACCTCCATGGGCGTGAGTCGCTCTTCGTCTGTCGCTGCAGCTACCGCTAACGACGGAGCCAATGGCCCTCCGAGAAGATGCGACGTTGGTGACCAGCATCCGTCATCATAAGACCCTTCCAGGATGACGCGGTCGTACGCGTCTTGTAGCCAAGCACGAGAGCGACTGAGCCACCACGCGGAGGCGCCTAGTCCGATACAAAGCAACATGGCTACAGACATCAGTACAATGGCTGTGGTTGAGAAGGTCTCGGGCGATGGTACAGATTGTAGCTCTAGCCACGCATTCATGGCTGCGCCATGTGACGCTGGACACAAGTCCACTTCGGTGAACCCGCTGCCATTGGCTGTAAAGCTGACACTGCCGCTGCTGCTGGTGATGACCACGTCGTCAGCAACGCCTCGACACGGAAGAATGAAGTTTGTGTGTGGCTCACACGACTCTGTGCCTGTGAAAGTCGTTTCGGACAAGTGGACAGCGAACAGCGCTTGACTGGGCTCTGTGTCAAGTGGAGTGTGTCGTCTTAACACAGGTTCGGGAACACTGTTACTGCGACCGTCCTCGGCCCAGAAGACCCCTGCAAACTGATTCTGTCTGTCCATATCTGATGTGTGCACTGCACACCTGGTGAGTGGGAGGACACTTTCCACGGGACAAGTGGGTGGCAAGAAGTGGCCTATAATGCCACAGTCCTGGACATGGCAGTTGCTGTTGTTGGCGCTAGATTGGAGCGTGCTGATCTCGGCAAATCCTGGTAATAAATCGCCCATCCCTTGACTGCATGACGTGTAGATCTGTACGAGTTTGACGTTGTCTCCTTCGCTCGAGGACGACGAAGAACTTAGCGGCGACGCGAACACGAAGCCAGAGTCCCACAATAGCGCGCGTTGCATGAGTCCTGAGAGCTCACTCCAGGTGAGAGAATAGCTAGATAGCCTTGCAGTTACAGCACTCGGTAGAGCTCTGGAACTGAGTGAGAGCTTGGCCACGGAGCTGCCTGACGTTTCCAAGTCGTACAGCCGCGCCACGAGGTCCCCCGCGGCCTGGCAGTCCCCCCAGAGCAGTAATAGACACACGAGACACAGCACTGTACACACGGGCACGCGTCGACGCCGCCGATAGCGTGACAGCAGGAAGAAGGCGCCACGTCGCCGCACCGAAACCATGCGATTATGGGAGAGGAAGTGGCGAAAGTCTCCGCGACGTGAGTGGCAGAGTTTCTGTTTTAGAGTGACGGTGGCCGGCTTTTTTGGCGTAGCCAGGCCGATATCACAAATCGACCCTTGAAAGTAAGAGCGAATATTGTCTTATTACTTTGAAGAGCTTGCACACTGTAATTTCGGTCAGCACTTCGTACTCTTGTTCAAAAGGATGCACGGCATCAGCGACGCCCTTGATTCTGCCATGTATACTCAAACGCATATTAGGGACTGCTGCTTCGCGATACCGGTATCTATTAATGTAAGACTTTACAGTTAAAAAGATCACTTAGATTGGTTCGGGTACAGTTATACATTCCAAACCTTGCGGCACCAGCGATTGCTTGTTCTGAATCGGAAGTTCCGATTGGGAACTCCACCAGTGGTGGCACCACCGGCTTGACGCAATAACGTTTCACTTGGGTTTTGTAAAGAGGATGGGAAGAGTTTGCTCCATAATGGCTTTCGGGTATAAACGGTCCGCTTGGCAAGATGGTCAGTCGCTGCTTGGTGAAAGCGCACCAGGAGAACTGATAAACTTGAAGAGGAGCATGTATTAATACTTGTATAAAAATTCATATTTCTTGTTAAGTCGGTCGTTATCGCAGCCGCGGGATGTAGAGATGCTCGGACTAATTGCTGAAGCCGCAGACGCGGCAATTTCTACGTTTTTGTCGCCACTTCAACTTCCAAGTTGAAGCCGCTTCGCGAACAGCTTGCATTCTTCGTCGGCAAGGACTTTTAAATACATGAAGTATTAATACAAATTACTGCAGCACTACATGTACATGCACATCTATCAAGTGAAAAGATATTTTTGGGGTGGCACTGTACAAACGCCCCATCACTTCAATGACAAATGGCTACGCGCTCTTGGCGAAGTCAAACTTCATGTTGCGAGCGATGTTGCGAAGCGTGAAGACGATCTCCAGGGCATTGGGCCGCTGGTTGGGCTCAAAGGAGGCACAGGCTGCCGTGAGCTGCTGCAGCGAAGCGGGGCAGTCCTCGCGCAGTTGAGGCGACACTTCGCCCGACGTGGCCAGGTGCATGAGTTGCATCGTGGTCAGACGGCGCTCGCTTACCTCAGTGTTAAGCGTGAAAGGTGGTAGACATGTGTCTAGTTCGGACAGCACAATAGCGTAGGAATACACATCGGCTTTTTCACTGTAGGCCTCGCCGCGTAGAATCTCCGGCGCCGTCCACAGCAAAGTTCCCACGCCGTTGGTCATCGTGTCGTCAGACGAGCGCTCGCGACTGAGGCCAAAGTCGCTGAGTTTGGCGCGAAGTCGACTGTCGAGTAGCACATTCAGCGACTTAAGGTCGCGGTGGATGATAATCGGTTGCCGACCATGAAGATACGCCAGTGCCTCGGCGATGTCCGTGGCGATTCCCAACTTCTCTTTACCCCACGTGAGCTCATTCCCTTTCTTGGAGTTTAGCAACACCGATAAATCTCCTTGCTCCATGAACTCGGAGACAATGCATAAGTCACACATGCGATTCCAGGACAACCCCACAAACCGAACGATGTTTGGATGCTCGAGTGCGGCTGCGAGTCGTACTTCATTGGCGAACAGCATGACGTGACACTCGTCGTGACGCTTTTCTGGCAATAGCTGCTTGATAGCCACAACTTGAGAGCCGCAGGTTCCACGCCAAACTTCACCATTAGCTCCGCGCGCAATTAGTCTGTCAAGTGTTAGGCTGTCGTACGCAATATGCTTTGATGCGATCTTTGCGTCGTCGCAGAATGTCGCCAACTCTATCGACCGCCGTCGTCGTGACTCGCTCAACGAGTTCCGTTGGCTATCGAGTATGTTCCGCGTGTCGCTTGTTTGTCTCTTAGAACGCGTGGTCGTCACGCTCTCAAAAAACGTAGGTGAAGACTCGATATCCTTTGCGTCCCTCTTCTTGCGGTTGATGTGCACTACGATGAGAGTCCCTACAGCTGCTGCCAACAAGATGAAAAGTACGACGAGGATAGCGGATTCCCCTGAAATACCCGCGGAACCACTGTTCGAGAGAGACGAGGCGGGCTGTGTTGAGTTCCCAGGTGACATCGATTGGCCCGACATTTCCCTGTCGAGCCAAAGGTCAACGAACCCACCTCGCTTTGGAAGACACCAAGGGTTTTCAGGAGACTCGTCGAGATCGTAAAATTGTACACAGGGTGCGACGAAGAAGGGATCGCTTGGGCAGTTGTCAATGGAGTTCGGCAATGGATCGATTTGGTTTATTGTGAAGAGGACGTCAGCGTCTATTGTATAGTTCCCAGTTGAACCCGAGCCCACGACTTCTTCAATGCCGTTGAGCCCGGAGCTGTCGCCGAGCGTGTGCTTGTAAAGTCGTACATCCGGAACGCTCGATAAACGCCCATCTTCGGACCAAAGTGCACTTGACTCTTCATTAACAATGTCGGTTGCATTCTCCTCGCTAGCGTAAATGCCACATTGGGCTGCCTCCCATACCGTTGCACGTGAACATGTCGAGCCAGCAAAATATAGTTGTGTCGACTCGCACGTTTCCAATGGACAATCCTTCCCTCGGAATGCCTCAAAAGTCGTCAAGATGACTGACATATCCTCATCGCACGGCACGTGAACTTGAACAAGTCGCCCTCCGCTTGTCATCACCAAACCTGCATCCCACAGGAGTGCACGTTGGAGATACCCGGATAAAGCGTCCCACCGCACCGATTTCTCGGAAAGTCGTTTAAACAGCGAATTCGGAACATTCGACAATACCACCTGAGGAGCAGCAGTGTCTCCGTTGCCTCTACTCGCTGAGTTCTGAAGCTGAAGTCGATGTAGCTGTGCAGGGACATCGATGGTAGCGTCGACGCGACACGTCAACAATAGCAGCAGTGCACCAGAGACTTTCGCGCCCAGAGCATTACGCTGGCGGTGGTGCGAATGCCGCATGCGTCGCAGCGAGAAAGTATTCTTCTGAGCTCAAGTGAGCAGTGTGCAGCAACATCTCCCGAGCACAAGCAACGCCGAACACACTTAGAGCGAGAAGAGGACAGTGTAAATGCGTCTCTTCGTCGTAACGGTCCATTTCTGGGATTAAAAAGCTTTCCGAGTCTGAAATTCCGATCTACATTTTTAGAAGTCCTAAAATAAGCGGACTGTGTAGCCATCCGGATGAAAATATCCGGATGATATGATTGGCCCTCCCTCCATCACTCTGTTTGTATCACGATGGCGCCCACGACGTTCGAGCAGAAGGTAGCGCAACTGAAGCGCGAGGCAGAGCACTACGCTGACTACCTAAGCGACGAGGAAGTCGAAGATGAGGTGACGACCAAAGCACATGAAGAGGCAGACTTCTGCAACGACTACAGCATGGCTGTTGTGGTTGGTGGCCTTCCTGTTATTGACAAGACCAAGCACGGCAAGCTTTTGAACGTCGTAAAGAAGATCTTCGGCCAAGTGGGCACCGTAGTAGACATCCAAATGCCGTTTGGCGCTAATGGCAAGACCACGGGCTTCGCTTTCGTCGAGTACGAGCAGGAGGCTCATGCCAACGACGCTGTGCGCACTATCAACAACTTTGCTCTGGACAAACGCCACACGATGCTCGTGAACAGATACGAGGACATTGAGCGCTACCAGAAGACACCGACCGAGTTTGTCGCCCCCAAGGTGGAAAAGTTCGTCGAGCCCAAGAACCTCAAGACGTGGCTCACGGACCCTGCGCGTCGCGACATGTTCGTGCTGCGTCACGGCTCCGAGACCGAAATCTTCTGGAGCGACAAGGGCGAGCTTGAACTTGACTACGCTGGAGACCGTGAGAAGACGAATGGCAAGCAGTGGTGCTCGCAGTACGTGCTGTGGTCTCCTCAGGGCACGTACCTGGCCACGTTCCACCCGCAGGGTATCGCTCTATGGGGCGGCGACAAGTACGAGAAGGTGGGTCGCTTCGCCCACAAGAACGTCAAGCTGGCTGTGTTCTCGCCCAACGAGAACTACCTCATCACACTGAGCGAGACGGAGCAGGACGCGGCCATCATCATCTGGGACGTCAAGACCAGCAAGATGCTGCGCGCCTTCCCTGCCGGCAAGTCCAGTGGCGAGAAGGGTGAAGTGGTGCAAGGTCTGATGACTCCGTTCAAGTGGAGTGCTGACGAAAAGTACGTGGCTCGTCGTGGCAAGGACGTCATCAGTATCTACGAACTGCCGTCCATGAAGCTGCTGGAGAAGAAGTCGCTGCGTGCCGAGGGCGTCCACGACTTTTTCTGGTCACCAACTGACCCGATCCTCGCGTACTGGGCCCCCGAGGGCAACAATGTTCCTGCTCGTGTATCACTCGTGGAGCTGCCATCGCGTCGCGAAGTGCGTCAGAAAAACCTATTCAATGTGAGCGACTGCAAGCTGCACTGGCACTCGAACGGCACGTTCCTGTGTGTGAAGGTGACGCGTCACTCCAAGTCGAAGAAGACCATGTACACCAACTTCGAACTCTTCCGTGTGCAGGACCAACAGGTGCCAGTTGAGATGCTGGAAGTCAAGGAGAACATTGTGGCGTTCGCTTGGGAGCCCAAGGGCACACGCTTCGCCACTGTGCACGGCGAAGGTCAGCAGCGTCTGAACGTGTCGTTCTATGACATGGACGGCGGTAGTAAGGCCGCGAAGGAGGTGACTCTGCTGTATACACTCAAGGACAAGGCGTGTAGCCACTTGTACTGGTCGCCACTGGGCAACAACATCGTGTTGGCTGGTCTGGGCGAGATCAATGGCCAACTGGAGTTCTGGGACGCTACGGAGCAGCAAAGCATCACGGTGCAAGAGCACTTTAAGTGTACCCATGTCGAGTGGGACCCGTCTGGACGTGTGGTGGCCACGGCAGTGTGCCAGCCGCTAGACAATTCGTACTACAAGTTCACGATGGACAATGGCTACACGTTGTGGACATTCCAGGGCAAGCAGCTCCTGGAGGAGAAGAAGGACGCGTTCTACCAGTTCCTGTGGCGTCCGCGTCCGCGTACGCTGCTGTCAGACAAGCAGTACAACAATGTGGTCAAGAACCTCAAGAAGTTCGAGAAGCGCTTCGACCAGATGGATCGTCTTAAGGAGCGTGAGCGTCTGTCCGCTGAGAAGGCGGAGCGCAACCGCAAGGAGCAAGAGTTCCAGGACCTCCTGCAGAAGCGTCTGGTCACGGCTGCCGCGCGCCGTGCTGAGTACATCGCGCTGCTGGACGGCTACGATAGCGAGGACGAGAGCGAGTACATTGTGCAGAGTCACACGTACGACGACGTGCTGGAGGTGAAGGAGGAGGCTATGCGCAAGTAAATGTGACTGTAGCCACTTCTTTTGAAAGGGAGATGGATATTTAACGGGAATGCAGCGACGTGATGCCTCGTTGTTGTGGATGTTGATGCCCTCTTTCTGCTTGGTGGAAGGGTACATCAGTACGATACCGGTATTGTCGTACTTAGTGGTGGGTACGGATTTGAAACTTGCCAAATAGCACGCCATGAGCCTCGCTTAGGTGAGAACTCAACCGAACAACATCAAGAAGAACGCGCTGGAGACGAAGCAAGGTTCATCGCGTGCGGATTTGTGGGGATCGTCCAGCGGTGCCAACGACACTGCACTTCCAGCGCTGAATGAATGTTTCGACCTGTGGTTGTCAAACAGATGGCCGTATGACCGTACATGAAGTGGTTGAAGCCCTCGCGGTACGGGCACTTCAGAGCGCGTGCTCTGGAGTCCAGATCAGCACGCAAATTTGGTGTCAACCACCATTGGTTGTTATGATTCATAAGTTATGACCTGCGTTATGATTCATAACGCAGGTGAGGTATTATAATGCAGGCTGCATTCCCTCACATTCCCTCACCTGCATAGTGAATCATGTGCTGTACTGCACTGCAGACTGTGGTTCAGTGAACCGTTCATCACGGGAGTTTGGAAACGGCACAGTGTACATGTATTGGTTCTCCGTAAAATGTCGCCCTAAAAAAGTCTTTCGTGTCTAGCTGCACTCCTAACCCTCGTTCAGAAAATATGTGGGATAAAATAAGTGCTTACTTTGTTCAAAAGGTCCGACACTTCTTCGCCCTTTCGCTCCAGCTTGTCTTGGTTTCACTATGGTGTCTCTCTGCCAACGACCGACCTTGCGGGCGGGGTCTTTCGTTTGCGTTCCTTCCTCAAAAGACAAAATACCAGACACCGCAACAACCTCTTTCTTATCCACTTTACATGGGAGTCAGTCGCGTCGTCAGCACCGCTGTCCGAGTAGAGCCCGCGTCGCCCACGCAGGCCGTTGAACAGCAGCTCGCGCCCGCTCCTCGTACGTTCGTCTCGCAACGCTTGGTGGCGTTCTTTTCGTCAGTTTCAACACGTTTCTAACCAGTTTTACTTTATTTCTACTGAAGTGATAATTCTGGATTGGGATGACACTCTCCTGCCCAACACACACTTGTCCGAGCTGGGTTTCTTCTCCGAAGACGAGGCCTTCGAAGTCCCCGAGGAATGCGTGCCTGTACTCGACGAGCTCGCTCAGGAGGTAGAAACCTTTCTCAACGCGTGTCTCAAGCTCGGCACGTGCTACATTGTCACCAACGGCTTGGCTGGCTGGGTCGAGCGCTCGTGCGAGCGCTTCCTGCCCAACGTCATGCCGTTACTGGAGCAGATGACCATCATTTCGGCCCGCTCCAACTTTGAGTGTGTGTACCCAGACCGTCCCATCGAGTGGAAGATTGCAGTGTACCGTGACCTGCTAGCGAAGCGTGGCTTCATGCAGAAACCGCCCGTGGAGACCCACGGCGTGTACGTTCAGCAACTGCAGCGAGAACCGCAGCAGGTAATCGCTCTTGGTGACTCGCAGGTAGACCGCTGTGCCATCCAGTATGTGGCGCGACGCACGCCCAATACCCAGCTGAAGTCAATTAAGCTGCTCGACAACCCGAGCATGACGCAGCTGCAGAAGCAGCTGAATTTGCTCGGCGTCTTCCTCGTACAACTCAGCGGCCATGACGAAACGTTGGACTTGGAGCTGTCCAACGAGATGCTGCAGTGATCAACAAGCGAACACTCTTGCGTGCAAGTCAAGCCAGTTAGCAACGCTATCCATATCTATATATCTAAAGGATCCACAAAAGTCGATAGTTTGGAAAAGTCGAGCAGCAATGTAGTAGTCCATTTATTCTTTTGGAACGTAGAAAACAAACAACGTAGAATACAATCGCAATATTTATCCCGTGCCCGTTATGTCTTTTAAGTGGCTTTTACTCATTCAGTTGCCGCCACAGTTTTACGTGTAACGTTGTTCATCTCAGCGAGAACTTCGCTTCTCGCCGAGAAGACTGCAAAAACAAACTCCCAGCACCGGCGACATAAGTACGTCGTCTGGTTGCGTGTGCCTGCAAATTGCAATTGAACAAGGCAGTTGCTATTCAACCCGACTGGTGTGGAAGAGACAGCCCGACAGCACCCGATCAATGCCAGACCATGCCCGACACAAAATAAGTCAGTTGAGCAATCAAGCGATGTGAAGACTTTGTGGTTTAAGCGTGCAAGTACGACCGGCATCATGTCATGAGCATGAGAAACTTTATTCAGTAGAGCTCAGTGGGACTGGTAAGTGCAGAATCAATATCAACTTGTTGAAAGGGTTAGCTATAGACACATATATATGTATCTGTAGCGCAGATACTGTAACTCCTTCCTACTCAGCATGCACAGACCTTGGGCTCTAGCGAATACCTCAAACGCTAGCAGAACATACATACCACAATTGTATGAATCTACTTGTACCCCTAGATCGCCCATGTAGTGGTGTACTCGGTATTTCCTTGGTGCGTAGTTTGGCAGTTGCATTGCCAGCTTTCCTGCGACCGCTCGGACTCTAACGACATAGCTCGAGCTCATTGGGTCATAGATGCACACATCATTCAGATTTAAGTTCACCATTACGCAGCACCAATGCGTGTTGCTGCAGCATATAGGGATCAGAATTTTCTCGTTCGTCTTGCCCGCGAAAATTGTAGCGAAGGCTCTGGTATTGACAGGACTACTTTCATTATCAATGGAACCGATAACACCTGGATCCACAATGACGACATCATTTCGTTCTCCAAACAGCTTGGACATGACGATATTCATGGTATCGTCGCTTAGCTGTTTTTTTCGACGAGATCTAGAATTTCTGCCTGTTTGTCAAACATAACGTTTAGTTAGAAAGTGTTGTAGTGATGGCATGATTTCGTCGACGTACCTTTGCAGACAAAAGCGGGATTGACTGCATCTTTGACAGCATATCCGTCTGTAGCACCACTTGAAACGCAGCAGGCATTGGGAGTGTGAAGTCAATGGTTTCGACCCACTTCACAGCCTTCTCGACCTGTTTTACCACCTTTATTGCCATGTGCCACCTATTCATGATCCCAATTGTACTCGTTGAGTACGCACCAAAGCCTGAAATATCCAGCGCCACGGCACTTTCTGCTAGGCCTTTGTGCTTCGACTGCAGAGCCGAAACCTTTTTCCTGCAAATGGCAATTTGTTCAAGGCGCAATATCCGCGTGATCGACTCTGCTGGTATCAAAGCGATTGTGGGTGGCAAGCTCGATATTGTTCGTGCTGTAGGTGTCTTGAACTTGAAGCCATACTCCACCATTTTGAACTTGTTCACAACTGCAGCTGACGATATGTATGTTGCATCCGAAGACAGCGCTGCATCCACGGACGCCAAGCTTAAATTCGAAGCGTACAGCTCTGAGTCTTCTTGAGCTACAATGACAGTTTTTTTACGAGCTGCCTTCTTTGATCTGGCTGTCTGTCTTGGTCGTCCTCGCGATCTTGGAGGACTCGCTATCACAAATGGCGTGTCTTCCGTTGCTGGTGGTAGTGTGCTTAATTCAACGTCCCCGACTGTATCCAATTCTTCCCCGACTGTATCCAATTCTTCCCCGACTGGATCCAATTCTTCCCCGACTGGACCTGATATGCCCCCGACTGGCCCGATAAATCTGCAACCTGTGTTGTTTCGACGGAGCTGCAGCTTGTGGCATGGTCAGACTCAGAGGCAGTTGGGGATACATGACTCACATTTGCTGTATCCGCATGACGAGTAAGCAGTTCTGCCGACACGTGGTGAGTCGGCCGTGCAGTCGGATCGTGACCAGTAAGTAGTGGCGGCGACAGCGCATCATCGCGCGAGTTGCTAGTCGAACCGTGACGCTCAGATTCAGCTGGTGGTAAAATTGGCACACCGGGATCCTCGAATTTGCCTCTCTTGAACCGCCCAGTCACACTTTGAAGATACTGCATCGCTTCTTTATACAGCGTCATGCCGAGTCCCGCCACGGTGTCACAAATTTGGGATGCAAATTGCAGTGCTTCACGATATTTGCGGCTCGAGTCCCACGGCCTCGCCTGTGAGGATATCACATTTTTTACCTCAAAATACTTTGGCTCCGCTGTGTCAGCGACTACACTTGAATTTTCAATCGCCGCACGCTCCATCACCCGAACCAGCACCGCTCGCAGCGGGTGTTGGGGGCATAGAATCGCTGCTGTCGCTCTCGTCGATCTCGCGCACGACAGCCCCAGTTAGCGGCCTCTTCTGGACGGCTCGGACGCGGAGATCCATTTCCCCCTCCTGCAGCCTTACGATCGCTACGCTGTTCGAAATTTAGTGGCTGTCAGGCTGAATGGTATACATGGTACACACTGTATACATCGTACGGATGGGAGCGCGTCAAAAATTTGTAGGGGAAGGTTAACTCAGTCGGTCAATATACATGTAGTCACTCTCATTGAACAATACTGGGCGACCCGGATCCCGACACTTGATGACCCGGAGTACGAACAGTGCTCCGACTCGGAGTCCGAGAGATCAGCACGATGGGGAAGCTCTGGATCTAATAAGCGAGTCGCACTGCTTGTGCTTGAAGCTGCCAGGGCCAGGAGTATACGATCGCCGGAGAAGGTGCCATTGCCAGCGCTTCAAAATGCAGCAAGATGCAGGAACCAGGACGACACCGAACATGAGTGGGACAATTACCACCACCAGCTTCGTCGACGAAGGCACCGTGGGAAACAACTTAAAGAGCCATTACCGCAGCTAGCGTATGTGTATTTGCCGCCGGTATTCCCATGCTACGAGGACTTCGAGACTCGACGGCGTGGATACAGTAGACGACGAAACTATGATACCAGTGAAAGTGACGAGAACAGCAGCTGTTCCAACTCTAGCAATGAACACGATGCTACATGTATTCCACTCCCATTGAAGCTGTCTATGCGGAGCCAACGCATGCGGTCGCTTGCTGCGATGTCGAAGCTGCAGCATGACGCCGCCACCACGATCCAGGTGCTCAACGCTCAAAAGCGGTTGTGATGGTTGTTGCTTACATTTTGCCACTGTCATGCATCTGTTTTAAACGTTAGAGGGAATTTCGTTTCTATCGGCGGCGACGAATTAATCAGAATTGCCGAAATCAACGACTTATAAAACAAGCACAGGACTTCCTGGACGTTTTTCTGCGTCAGGAGACGGCCAGCCTCGTGCCTGTGTGTTTGCTCGAGGCCCTACGTGAGACACGCGTCCAGGTAGGCTGGACGCTCACATCGGCACTATTGGTCATAGCGATTCAACGTAGTTTTCTTCGTCTGTACTTACAGGAGACGGCGATAACCAGACGCAGAGAAGACCTCGCAGCCTCGCTGACCGGGGACGTGTATGTGTCGCTTGTCAACGAGAGTATCCGCGATGTTTTCCACGACGTACTTCAGGCCATGGTCAAGTCTTATCGAGCGCAACAAATTGATCTTTCTCGAGCGGCGATCCCAACGACTGTCGCTGTGGCTACGGACATTCTCAGCGACTGGACCAAGGAGCTTGTAGCAGAGTTGCTTTCAGAAGGTAATGCATTAGGCTTTTGTTCTAGAAAAATGCGCTTACCCATACAACCCTCGTTTGTGCAGCTCTTGTCGAAGTAACGTCTGCGTACATATTGCGACAGCAACATGAAGTTGTCTGGGAAAACTTTCTACAGGATGAGCTTCAGTCGGTGGCAAATGAAGCAATTATTGTGACACGGCAAAACCTTTTACCATGGAAATAATTAGAAGTACAAAATTCACAATTGGTCCCTCCTTTTAGTGCCATTTGCCATCCAATCAAATCACTTAAACAAACAAGACCATTCGTCAGTAGCATCACCATGTCGATGCCCTTTGTGTCTAGCCTGCGCACCTCTCTGGGCGCCACCGGCAGCAATGCAATGGTATCTTCTGCCCCTGCATCTACTGCCGGCAAGTCGGCTATGATGTCCATGTTTTCGGACCTGGATTTGGCACTGGACGCCAGTGGCGCCGTTGTTTCCAATGCCAACGGAGGACGCTCCGCCGCCAAGGACTTGCTGGCTTCCAAAAACGCCGAAAAGCAGGCAGAAGCTGAACTTGCGGCCGCACATGAGTTCAAGAAGCAACAACAAAAGCAACAACAGATACAAAAGAAGGAGAAACCCGTGACGGCGTTGGGCCAGGCCATCGATCTCTTCGACAAAGAGATGGACGAACGCGACTCGTTCATGTCTCGAAACACTAAGCGACGACAAAAAGGCAGCAAGAAAACACGAGGAGGAACCTCCACGCCTTCGCGTGGCCGTCGTCAGCGCCACGACAAGTACAAACGCGTCTAAAATTCTATTTTGCCATTAAACAGAATTTTGACTTGCTTTTCGTATTCTAATTTATGGACACTGCTGTAACATTAGCAATTTTCAGGAGGGAATGACACTGATCAAAGGTGAAGGCGCCACTTTGTTCATTAGACGAGACCGGAGACTTCCACATTCATTGGTGGGACCTCCCAAGTTGCGGTCGAAAAAGCCAACGACACCGGAGCAGAGTCGTTCACTACAGGGCTGAACACGATGGTCCGTCACGTGCCCGATAACAAACAAGTCATCTTGATACACTTTGAACCAATGTAGTTTACGTAATACGAGGTATTCGGCGCCACTTTCGTCCTCCATTTTCAACAACCCAAACAGCTTCGGCTTTGTAGAACAATTCCCCGTCCTCCCAATGGTAACCTGCAAGTTTAGGCATCTTGTTGCGTACGCCAAGCGCAGTGTCGACGCAACATGGCGCCCAGAGCATGCCCCACGTCCCAAACTTCCAGCGCACATAGGTGACTGCGCGTACAATCCGCACACACATGATGAACCCGACAAGTGTAGCAGCGATGACGCTGTAGCCAACTAAACCCCACACGTAGTAAGAAACAGCACGTGCAGTCGTGCCAGTACAGTTTAAATCCGATCGATTCAGCGAGGTGAGAGCATAGGATTGTCCGAGTGCACTCAATATTTCTCCGAGTAGTGAGGACTCGTAGCTAAAAATTTGACGCTTGATAAAAAGTCGAGAGGGTTCTCGGTGTGTTTTCTACAAATTCAAATAAGAGGAGAAGTATGCCGGACAAGTTGTATCCGAGTGACACATACTGAATCCAAGTGAAAGATCCATCTGTTCCTGCGAGCAAGAACAAGTCGCTCATAAGTCCTTCGAGTAAGAAATATAGCAGCACCACTCGATGATAATTAGACGCGCCATGCGCCGAAAGACGAAGACTTTCGTGAACAAAAATCGTCGCTGCCTTTCGATTCAAAGTCACTTCCATATGGTCACATTTGTCCCCGTAGCGTTTGCACGCAATGTAGCTGCGACGAAGAATAAGGCCGCGAAAAACGATCCAAACGGCACCAATAACGCTGTAATAGAGCGACCACCTGTACATATCACTACCAGGATCCGTTGCTAGTGCTTCGCCATTGATATCATAGGTACCAAGTCCAGCAACATAGGTGTACGCAGTTTGATCCGTGGTACAGTAGGTACAGACAAGTTCGTCGTAAAAAGAATAGTATCCGATACTTCCGTGATAGAGGAATAATTCAACGGGAAAGCTGATGTCCATACAGCTCCCAGGTGACGAATTGAACGAATCGACCTCTTGTGTTGCTATTAAATAATTTCCATGACTATTATATTGTGGGACCACGAAATGACAGAGCTGACCTTGGTCGAGTGGGTGATAATGTGAAGCTTCGACATTCCACCACACATAATAGCCAACGTGAAAGCCCTTCATTGGGCATTTTTCCATCAAGTCGTCCGTCGTTGACTTTCTTCCTGTTGAAGCCAGCAAACTCTCCGGGATCTTGTGCGGTGTTGCAAATTTTAAGTAGCTGCGAATCTGCAGTGTAAACGGAAACATGCCAATGAACAGCCATGCCAGCAGCAGCTTCCGATGAGCTGTAAGCATATTGGGGTTTCGCGTTCGGTCTGTCATCTCCCCTGGAGATCCTTGCGGCAAGGTAATCACCTTTCCCAGCTTCATGGTTGATACTACATACTTAAAGGGGAAACAGCGAGGAACTGTGCCGTTCATGAAACGGATAGTCGACCTATTTGTAGTCAGTTCTGACCTTACATCGAAACGTTTTTAGGATTTTATCACAGAACAACATACTATTTACAAAAAACAAGTATCTTACTACATTTTACAATAGCTTTATTGCGCAGCGCAGTTCCTACCGGCATTGCACGTTACGAAGTGAGAACGAGATGTGTTTTTTAGAAATTTCTAACTATTTATTAAAATAAGTTTTTTTGGGGGGGGGATGATAATCTGGTTACGCAGCCCTGACAGTGGCACAGATTATTACCGGTATTGCACCTTACGAAGTGAGAGCGAGTACGAATTATAGGAATTTCTAACGATTGATTAAAATCTTTTTTTGGGGGGGGGGGTATGATGGTTTGGTGCGCACCCTGACAGCGGCACGAATCATTATACACAAGCCATGGCGCTTTAGACTTCAGGGTGCATCTTGTCCCAGTACTTCTTGTACTTCATCCAAAACAAATACATTGGGTCTTCTGCCAGCTGGCTCATTGACATTGTCTTGAGCTTTTCCTTAATGTGCCACTGGTTGAAAGCCTGCCCCGGGTCAATTTCTCTTCAGAGGCTAAACGTTTGAATACCGCCTTATTTTTATCTTTCATCCACTTGTGAAAGTCCGCAGCGCCGCAATTTCTTCGTCTACAGTCATAGATGAGAACGACTTGGACTTGGTAAGCTTCGCAGCACCGAGAGCTGCATCGTCCACCAAGTCTGAGACCGAGTTGTCGAGTTTGGCCCGTTCTTCACCCTCCGAGTTCCCGTTATCGATTGGCTTGTGGGACCTCAGCATTCGATTCACATCGCTAGCGACAGCATCGACCTGGTGAGATGGAAGCTTGGAAATGACCTCAGCTGGCAACTGAGCGTTGCAACTTGAAAGAAGATACACCGCAGTGACTAGCACGATGTGAGGTACACGCATGGTCTAAACAAAGGCGACCGGTTGAGGCTCTTGGGTTAAATTGCAGAATAAAACTGAAGAAAGCACATACGTGTCGTCGATGGTTTAGCTTCGTATTTGCTGATGACCAATCAATGAAAACCTCGAACGGGATGCACAGAATATTAATAAGCTGACAACAGCGAAGGTGCCGTGAATTTGTACACAAATCAATCTTCGTACTACCTTGTACTGTACAAATCATGCGCTAATATACGACAGTAGTTGTTTACCGGTATTAAAAATACATTATCTGTACTAGGCGTGGTTCAAATCATGCGCTAATATACGACAGTAGTTGTTTACCGGTATTAAAAATACAATACCTGTACTAGGCGTAAGGCTCAAATCATGCGCTAAATTAAGACAGTAGTTGTTTAGTGCTATCAGGTGGCGAGCAGCGTAAGCATACTAAGGTACCGGTCCATGTATTCTCCAGAGTATCTCATTACAGAAGTCCCCCTGAATAAGCGTAGCTTGCACCTCACACAGTGTGTGGCACCCCCCTTTATATCGGATCACGTAGATTGAAGGTACCTTGGACAAATCTCAAGATCGCTGTGATTTGTCTACATGTATAAAACTTATCAGACGGCCCTCTACGCGGGACTTCTGTATACAGCACATAATATTCAGACAAGTTGTATACAATGAAAACTTCGTACTTTATTTTTTGTCTAGCCCGGCAACGGATATTTTCTGGTGTGTAAAACAAGACAATATAAGCAAATGAAAGGTTTGTGAATCTCTCCCTGTCCACCTTTCATGTTATAAAATGAACCAGCCTGGAGAGAAGGCATACAGGGGATTGTGGCGCGAGCTTCGTGCAGCAGGATGGAAGCCACACAAAGCGACCGGGCTGAGTAGGCATTGCGCATACGTAAAGCCTGGTGTTAAATGCCGTCCGCAGAGGTTTACGGCAGGGTGAAGACTTTTTTCTTGGTGAGTGCTATGGCGAGATGATGGTTATTTTGTGTACCTATGAGATTTCTTCGCTAGGCAAAGAAGCCCTTTTGGCGTACAGGTGATTCTTCAGCTATAGGATATCATAATCCTACCAAACAACTCAGTTAAGCCGGACCCTCACAGGAAACCTTGCCTCGTATGCTGCTGTGGGCGCTCAACCACCCCATTCACCACCTGTTGAGCTCCTGTCGAGCGACCTACAGCTTGTGCTGTAAGTCGGTCAGCGACCAGCCATGCTAGCACTTAAAAGCACACGAGGCTTAATACGCAAAAGTGAATGTGACATTAGATTTAGTCTTCGACATACGACCTCGTATCCACCTCTCAGTCCTCTTCGCGCTCTCGAAACCAACCTGCAACCTCGACTAATGTTCCGATCCCCGGATCCGTCGCAGCTGCCGACGTCCTTACACTTGGCTAAGGATCAGCCAATCACACCCCGTTCAGCAGTGTTGGCAAAGTCCTTGGGATTTGGACGGACGGATTAAGTCCGTCCAGGCCGATTGGCCGAAGCCTGTGGCGGAAGGACTTTACTGATTACATCTTAAATGTAGCATTTTACTTAAATAACAACGAATTGGATAAATTAGCTCAGCTTTAGCCGATGGAGACCCGAGCAGCAGCCGACAGAAGGGCAAGCAGCCAAGCCGGAGCAGCAACTCGTACACAGTCACGTCCGACAGAAGGCCAAGCAGCAGCAGCAGCTCGTACTCCGCCACGACCGACACAAGGTCATGCAGCGGCAGAGCTAGCGCTCATCCACGACCTACCGAGACCGGAGTAGTAGCATCTCGTACACAGTCACGTCCGACAGAAGGCCAAGCAGCAACAGCAGCAGCTCGCGCCCATCCGACGGAGACCAGAGCAACGCTGCGGCTTACGCAGGATATCTACCAGGATCCTTTTCGTTTACCTATCAGGTGCAGCAGCCACAGCATCAGGCATGCTGGCGGCAACAGCGTGGTTAGCGCCGACGTCGACATCAGGTACGCAGTCGACGGAATCTAGAGGCCAGCACCGACGTGAAAGTCTGACCGAGAGCAGTAGCAATACCAATTGGAAGAATTCAGACTGTACATTACGTACGCTTGAAGGCCAAGCTGGATATTACTTTGAGTACCTGGTACTATGGCAATTTCAATCAAATAGCTCCGTAAGTGTTGATTTCCGACCACGAAATCCCCCGAGTATTAGCGCTTCTTGTGGGAAGTTTCGGTCATTATGGACAGTAAATTCGTGCTTGATCGGGGAAGGGATATTTTCCAGTTCATTCTCGTCCTCCGAATCATCTTCACGTTGTTCTCTTAACATTCTCAGCTCAGGACCAGCTTCGTTTTCTGTGTAGCCCGCATCAATTTCTTCATCCTCAAACACCTCGTCGAAAAACTCCCCCCACATCGTCAAAGTAGCTGTTCCATCAGCACCGTCACCCGGATCGTCATCGTCACTGTCATGGTCTGCATTCGATAACCCCTGTTGATGGGGTGAAGGTTCAAACAGGTTAGATCTGCTCGTAGCATCCATTATAATTTCTCTCTCAATGGGAGAAATAAGAAGCTTTTTCCTTGGATCCCCGGAATCAATCTTTTTAGACCGATTGCGAACATGCTTGGCAATGATGTGATAATCGAGGACTTTAGTTGGAGCCATACGATTGCGCTTTGCAGTGTGAATTACGCCAAGCTCACTAAAAAGACGCTCGCATGTGGCAGTATTTACTGCAATAGAGAGAACCCTCATGGCGAGTGTTGGAAGCTGGCTCTTGGGACGTTCCGTCGCAACGCACTCCCAGTACTCCCATGGTACATTGGGAAACTCGCTAGGCTTCGTTCGGGTAAAGCGACCTTTCATCCAGGCCAGCATATCACGTCGTATCTCGCAAATATCCTCAGTAGCAAACAGTCGCCGGAAATAGTAAACAGCAATCTTGCACAACGTGCCGGTTCCCGATACAGCGGTCTCAGGTAACTCTCGGGCGATCTCGGCGTACACTGGATGTAGTGCAAAGCCAAGCATAAACAGGGGCTGCTCACACTGCGCCCAACGATGCTCAACGCACTCAACTAGTTTGTTACGACGGACAAGATGTTGCTGGAAACCCTCATAAATTTCCCGAAATGATTGCACGACATCTCCCAGGGTATTCTCATCTCGCTGAAGACGAAACGATGCGTAAGATATTGGCGCGATAACGGCTTCTGCTTCTTTTAGCTCTTCCCAAAATAGAGACTCACCAAAAACACGCAGCTGACTTGGAAAGTCACTATTGGTTTTGTATTGGCGGTACAGAGCTGATTGAACGCGAAGCAAAGATGCCAAGCATCCTTGCATAGAGTTCCACCTTGTTTCGCATAGCGTTCGTAGCCCCAAAGATCTCCCGTAAAACTTTTTCATGATTTTTTGAGCACGTGGTAGCCACTTCGAAGATGACGCGTTCAAAATGTTGACGGCCGTTGCAGCCTTGGATGCAATACCATTAAAATTCGATTTTAGTACTGCTTTTACGAGGTTGTTGACGTCATGCGCAAAACAAAACAAGAAAACAACCTGCGGCCACCGAATGGCCAGAATCCGGCGAGCACGTCCACACTGTCCTGCATTATCCGTCGCCATTGCTCCAACACACCACCCTTCTAGTTGGGCTCGCTCCAGTAATTGCTCAAGTTGTTTGGCAATAGCTATGCCATGATGCTCGTCCCCAGCTGGTAAGAGTGCGTAGGTAAGCAGTATTCCAAAGAGAGAGAGTTGACAGCCCAGTAGGTGTTCCTTGGAGATATTTTGCCAAACATCCGAGAGCAGATTAACCCAACCGTTTGTAGCCTTCACCATTGCCCTCAAAGCTTCCGTGTCCGTCGTGCTGCAACGGCTTGCATGTTCTTTAAGGATGCGACCACTCAACGTTCGTCGAGAAGGAATAACGTCTGAAATGCCAGGACACAGAAGCTCCAGGAACCGCAGAACGGACGCCTGCTCAATAAATCTGTCTGGGAGATGGTTGTCGGCGTGAAGCTCGATGAGATAACACTCAATTTGTCTGATCTCACTCTTTGAAAACCTCCGCTTTTCTTTCTTCGTCTTCTTCACGATTAGGTTGTACGCGTTGACTGCCGGCGAAGGGCGCTTCTCGAGTATCAGTGAGCGGCGAGCATGAGCTGGACGTGCCGTTCGTGAACCAGCATGACGTGAAGGTATGCCAGCGTACTGGGATCTTGTTTGTGAAGCAACTGGTGGAGGAGTAGTTGGTAAAACTTCTGAGGTAGTACCTACACCAGGGTCACTCTTTGTACTACATCTGGCGTTGCCACAACAGTCAGCGACGCCAATGGCTCCACACATAGTTGAGCCGCCTTGTAATATGTGCATTTGGCGAGATGGCTTTGGTAGTTTCGCACTCTACCGATTATCGGCTTTGGCGGGGTAGTGGTCACCTCATTCTGGAACGCAGCCCTGCAAAACTTGCATTCGCGATAGCTATAACCTCCTTTTGCTGTCCCCAATTCAGGAAGCCGTTTAAAATGCTTGCTTTCTTGTCTCTCAGGACGTCCTCCAGCGTCTCCCATACTGAAAAGTGTATGCTCAAGGGTGTAACCTTGTGAACACACAGCTGGTGCTTGGCCCCCCGTTGGTCGTAGCGGCGGACTTGCTACTCCTGCTGCTTAGCCTCTCGTCGGACGTGGCCGATTACGAGTTACTACCGCTCCGGTTTTCGTCGGACACGCACTAGCTGTTGCTGCTGCTTGGTCTCCTGCCAGACGTTGCCGCTTACGAGCTGCTGATACTCCGGTTTCGGTCGGTAAGGGACAGGCACTAGCTGCTGCTGCTCAGGCCTCTGTCGACACACACGAGCTGCTGCTGATCCCGTCTCGGTTGGTCGTGGACTGGCACTAGCTGCTGCTGCTCAGATGTCCGTCGGCCGTAGCTGCAGACTTGCTGTATCTTCTCCTTGGTCTTCTGTTGAGCGTGGCCGTTGACGAGCTGCTGCTGCTCCGGCCTTGGTCGGTCGGGGGCGGGCGCTAGCTGCTGCTGCTGAAGTCTCCGTCGGACGCGCACGAGCTGCTACTTCTTGGCCTCCCGTCGCGGGCTTGCTGGCTTGTGGGCAGAATCTAGTCTGGGCAGCCATGGCCCGGCCATGGCCTAAGGGCCGAATCCCCTTGGCAGAACTAGGTTTAGGCCAGTTTTTGGCAGGCCGGTTAAGTCCCTACTGCCAACACTGCGTTCAGTGAACGGTTCACCCCGGTACTTCAGCACGCCCCCTCGTCGATCGGTGCGACCCTTCATGTCCACGTTCGCTAGCTTAGCTCAGCCCCACAAACATTATCAGCTTAATCAGCCTCGGACCCGGAAGCACCTTGGTTAGCAAGTCAGCAGGCACATGCTCACTTTCACAGTATTCAGCTTTCATCACGCCACGCTTGGTGTGACGCACGACAAACTTGATCCTGACGTCGATGCGCTTGGCCTTCAACGACGCCTTCTCGCCGTCCCGCTGCTTCAACGCGGCCTGGTTATCGACCTTCAGCAATATATTGACTCCACGACCGCAACACCCAGCTCCTTGAGCAGTTCTCGGATCCCCAGCAGCTTCTGTTCCATGACCGAGGCGGCCGTATACTCAGCCTCCATCGTCGATAATGGCACGTCGCCTTGTTTCTGCACACCCAACCGATCGCCATTCCACGCATGGTGATGAACCCCCCGGTCACTGACCGTCGGTTATCCTTGTCTGCAGCAAAAACAGCGTCGCTGTACGCCACCACTTGCAGTGGCTTGTGCAACTCGCTCTTGCCATACATCCGCAGACGCAGTACTCTCTTCGCCAGCTTCCAATCTGTGACCGTCAGCTGTGCGTCCTTCTAGACACCTTATACACTGCAAACGCTATGTCTGGGCTTGTGCACCGCGCCAGCCACGGCAAACTACCGACCTGCGATTGGAACTTTGACACAGTGATCGTGTCGTAGCTACCGGTCACGGGGAGTAGCTCACCTGTACCCATCGCACTCTGGTTCCATCCATCACCAATCGGAGCCTTCCCTTCATGAGCCAGCTTCATACCGGGCTCCCTGAGCAGATCAGTGATATTGACCTCCTGCTCCACCTCGTAGCTGCACTCATCATTATAGCCTACTCGCATGTCCAGGAACTTTTGCGCACGACCCAGGTCCTTCACAGAAAGCGACGCCAGCTCTCCGAAAAACGCATCGACGACTTCCTGCTCGGTTCCGGTGACCAGCAGGTCGTCCACGTACACTCCGACCACCAACAACACGCCGTACTTGGATTTGAAATAGACACACAAATCCACTAAACGCTGCACGAAAACGATCTCCACCTATTTCTTATGAAGTAATTTGCTCCAGAGCCTGCCAGCCTGTTTAAGGCCGTATAGTGCCTTGTGTAGCTCCAACGCGAGCTCGTCCGCACTGGAAACTCCCAGCTCCATCATGATCTCCTCTGAGACGATCATGCCCTGTGGATTGCGTTGAAGGATCTCGAGTTCAGCCTCCTTGTCGGCCCGTGTGTAAGTGCTAGACAAGTCGCCATGCTTCGCAGGCACACGCCACTTCCGAGCCAGTACGAAGATCGTCTTCACGCTCTTCATCTCGATGACGGCCGTAAACGTGATCCCGTAGCTCACACCGAGCTCCTGCTCATTAGCGCACGCCACCACGCGTGCCTCGAGTCTTTCGATCAGTCCCTCGGCGTCGCGTTTGGCCTTATAGACCTTCGTATGCAGTGCACGCACATCACGACGCAATCTCACTGTCCTCCAACCCCGTTGGCCTCCAGCGCCGCGAGCTCCTCGGACATAGCATTAAGTTATTTCTCCTTGATTCGGCTGCTCACGTCTTCTCTGTAGTTCTCTGGGTCTACGTAGACGACGTTATTCACAATGTTGCTTCCAGCCTCCTCCTGCTCTGCGGACTCGTCCGCGTTACCAGCAGCATTCTGGCCCACCGACCTCGTCACTAGTCACTCCCGCGACCAAGCCGTTTCGCTTTAGTCCTATTACTGCGCTTCTTTCCGGTTTTGTCACGACCATTCTCATCCCCGTGCCAGCGTTGCCGTTCGCTTCGCATTGCAGTCTGCACCAATAGGCGACACACCTGCACTAGAGTGCTACTCCTCGGCTGAATCCTCGCGCAACTATTAGCGCCAAAAAGTGCTCGTTCTGCGTCTTGGCAAGAGTTATAATGTTCTTAACATTATGTGTGGTGATGACCACCTTGTCCTTTGGTAAGCACACCCGGTAGCCCTTGGTTTCCTTGCCAACGACAATAATCATGTCCTGTTGAGCTTTATGCGAGCAGTTCTTGTTGCGTGGGTCCCTGTGCACCGTGCACAGGGGCCCGAAGAACGCTATCTCACCCAGCTGTGGAGATTTCTTCGCTAACACTTTCATCGGAGACACATGCCCCGGTTTGGAATTCGAGGGCGACCTGTTCAGTATGTATGCGGCATACGGTACTGCATCCCCCCCCCAAACCTCAAAGGAAGCCCGCACGCGAAGATCATGCATCTAGCCATGTTCATGATCGTGCGGTGCCTCCTCTCAGCCTTGCCATTATTTGATTGGTTTCGCGCCTTGCTTTTTAGCTTCGATACCCCGGTGCGTTTGCAGAACGAACAACGTTCTGGCACGCAGCCCCCGAGTCCGTTTTCAAAACATGTATCTTGCAGTCAAAACATTTCTCAAAATAAACAAGGAAATGCTCGTACTGGTTCGCGGTCGCGTCCTTGGTACGCGCCACGAACACCCTGCAGTAGTTGCTTTTGTGATCGACGAAGTTGATCATATAGCGGCTGTTGCGTCGGTCCTTTGGAGTCATGGGACCCTTAAGGTCCGTGCAAATCACACCACCCACTCTATCAATTGGAGAGTGATCGCCACTGTCCTTTGGTGATTGCTTGTTCTAACTTTGCTTACCCTGTGCACATGTAAGGCAGTTCATGCGTCTCCGATCCGTCCGTTCGATCATCGAACTCGGATCCCGCGCTAGACGCATCATAGTTAAGATGCCCAGTCTCTTGTGGAACTCGACTAGAGATGTCTTTTGCACTGCACTGTACGCGTCGTCCGATGCGTCTGCCTCGCGGTCTAGTGTCGCCATGATCCCATCCGACACAGCCTCCTGCGTTTTGTCAACCTTGCCTCAAGCTACCAGCACGTTGCGCCCCAGTCCAACGTCAAAAAGGACCACGCCTCCGTACCACACATTGATCATCACGGTACGCCAAGATGAAACCCTTTTCATCCAGCTTGCCGTATGAGACCAAGTTGTGAAGGATACCCGCCGCGTAGTACACATTGGCCAACTTGATGACCTTCG